TGGAAGGAAGGGTGGCCTTGCTAAAACTCCATCGCTGCTGGCAGGTATCTGGCTTGCATTTATCGTTTCTAGAGCCAGGAAGGCTGATGATGCCACAGCCTGCAGTCTGGCCTGAGGAACAGCAGTGGTTCTCAACCTTCCTAATGCTGTGACCCTTTAATACAGTTCCTCATGTTGTGGTGACCCCCAACCATGAAGTTATTTTCATTGCTACTCCAGAACTGTAATTTTGCTACTGTTATGAATAGTGATGTAAATATCTGATATGCGACCCCTGTGAAAGGTTATTTGAACCCCCATAAAAGGGTCTCGACCCACGGGTTGAGAACCACTGAATTAGAGGCTGTAGGGCCAGAGGAATTTCTATTTCATAGGTACCCTTTATCTCTGGTGACAAAAGGCATATCTCAGGGAAAACCGGAAGCCCAGGGGGACCCTGCCACAGGACTGGGAAGCAGAGGAGCTAGCAGGGGAGGGCCTCTGTCCTGGCAGGAAATGAAGTTGATTGTCACCTCCTCTCAATGGGGACAGGAAGCGGAGCCCAGGCCAGGCTCTGTGTCTCCTGCTGGGCTCCCAGAGTGACCTCTACCTCCACCCCCAACTCGACCCATTCAAGTATTCAGAAGGTGCTCAATAAGTGCTCTTTTCTGTTCCCTGAGTGTTCTGATTGACATTTGTATATCTCAGTTCCTCCTTGTCTGTAAGCATTTTTAAACATCGGTGATGTACTGGACATTTTTGTGACCATAGTCGTTTATTGAGCACTGGATGGGAAGGATCAGTGTTAGAGTCAGGGTCCAGATTCCCCCACTTACCAGGTATGTGCCTTGGCCTCTGTGTTGTGATAGTCCCTGTGTAACAAAAGGTTGTGACAGTGCCTTCCTTTGGGAGTTACTGAAAGGCATGCATAAGTTAATCTATACCAAGAATTTACTGAGTACACAAAGCAAGTACTCAACAAATATTAGCTATTACAATTTTTTTTACTCTGAGTAAAAAAAAAAAAATGGGAAACTGAGTAAGTGGCCTGGGGTCACCCGCAGGGTTCCATTGCCTGTCTGGGAAGCTTGGTAACAGATACTCTCCAGTGTGTGGAAAGGCTGGGTGCATGCTTATCTGTGGAGAATGGTCCCGCCCTGCCTTAGGGCAGCTTGGCACTGTGGGGGCTGCAGGTGGGGGCATAGGCAGCTAGGTTTCAGAACTTGGGATCTAGGCTGCATTAACCTGGTCCTGTGAGGGGGGTGGGTGTTAGGAGCCTCAGATTGTCCAAAGATATAAAAAATGAAGATGCTTGCTACTGTAGAGAAGAGTGTGAGAGAGGGATGGAGAGCATTGACGGGGAGAAGGAGGGCCCTGGGACCCTGAAGTGAGGGAGACTGGACTCCGAAGCCCAGGGAACCATCATGGCACAGTGGGGTCTGCTGGCCATCTATTGTGGGGGATGGGGTTGTAGTTCACATTAGTGCTGTGTCAGAGAGCATCTGTTGCCTCAGTTTCCCTGGAGCTCTGGTGCTCATGGAGTGCCTTGTAGCTTGTCCCAGGGCCTGGCTGGGTAAGTAATCAGGAGGCCAGGAGGGTGAGAGGGAGGGTGGGCCTAGGATTCTGGCTCTGCTTCTGCCAAGGTGTCTTGAATGAAGGAGACAGAAGGCAAGCAGTGGGCACCAGCCTGGGAACTACACTGACTTAGACCCAGCTCTACTCCAGCTCTGCATTCTGAGTGCAGCCTGGCCTCTCTGTCTCCAGTTCTCATCCACACATTGGGGAGAGCTACAGCTGGCCCTTCCTGCTGCCATGGGAAGGATGTGTGTGCACCGAGGCATCAGCATTAGTTACCATGGCCATGGCCTTCTCCCCTGGCAGGTACACTGGGCATCCATCCCAGTTACCTCCGCACCCATTCTCCCAGCTGTCACTCGAATACTTTAGAGGCATAAAGATGGCTCCTTTGGATGTCTGACACTCTTGGGGAGGTGGAATGCTTTGCCACTAGGAGGTTCAGAAAGGAAGAGCAAGAGGGAAGGAAAGAGAAACAGAGCATAAGAAGACATGTCTGCTGGGGAGACGGAGCACCCTGCCTCATGGGCATCTGCCTTCAAGGTACCGTTGGTGCCCTGCTAAACTCCTCTAGAGAAGTGGGGACAGGCTCATGCCCTCACAAGGCAACTCAGGAGTAGCAGTCAACGGATGGATAGGATTTAAGAACTAACTGGAAGCCTGGAAGCTGGGTGTGGTGGTGCACACCTTTAATCCCAACACTCAAGAGGCAGAGGCAGGTGGATCTCTGAGTTCTAGGACAGCCTGATCTACAGAGAGAAACACTGTCTCGAAATCCACCCCCCCCCAAAAAAGGAACTGACTAGACTGTAAGGGCTGCAGTTTCCATCTGTGAAATGGGGACACAATAACTGGGATTCTTGGCAAGATTGCATTCATTAAGGCTGGAACAGGAGCCACGGTGATCATCACCCTGGGCGGGATGATTGCAAAGCCATAGGCATTGGGATCCATTTTCTCTCATCAGGGAAAACAAAGGAGTTCAAGTTTCCCCTCATGGCGTATCACTCCATACCACCCTCTGCCTAAGCTGAACATGTTGAATCCTGTGAGGTTTTCCCCACTGGCCTTGGGACTGTGCCCACAGATCCCACATCCAACAGTGGTGGGTCGGACTTAGCTTAGTAAAGCATCTGGGTATTTTCCCGCCCCTACCCTGAACCCCTTCCCCAAACCTCAGCGCAAAGGCAGCACTGGAGGCAGCTGAGTCCCTGGAGCCTCCCTCCCTCCCCGGTCCTGCTGAAGCTGTGTTCTTGGGACTGCATACTCTAAAAAAAGCAAGCTAACTCTTAATTTATTTCTTTTTGCATGAAATATGGAAAGGATTTACCCACTCACTCAGCTTCACACCCCTTCAGACATAGATATCAATATCCTTACCCTCTCCACCACCAGCTCCATCACCTACTTAAGTTCATTGCTTCCATCTCCATCACTCAGCCAATCCCATCGTCTCCACCACTTCGATTACTGCCATTAACTCCACCATCTCCATCACCCATATCATCTTCAGTGCCTCCATCACCTTGACCACCTCCACCATCTTCATCAACCCCATCACCCATGCTGTCTCCATCATCTACCACTTCTATCACATATATCCTCTCTATCACCTCAACCAGCTCTACCATCCACCATTTCTGTCACCCCCCGCCATCTCTATTACTTTAACGACTTCCACCATCTCTGCCCTGTCTACCACACGGTCGACCCCCTACTGCTTGTATCACTCCCAACTCCATCACTTGACCAAATACCTCCATTGCCGTCTGGAAAACCATCCTTATCCTGTATACCATCTCCATCATTACCACCCTTTCCATCGCCTCGACCATTTTACTGCCTCAGCTCCGCATCTTCCACCACCTTGATCACCTGCTCTGTCTCCACGGCCTCTGCCACCACCAACTCCTTCACTTCTAGCCTGTGGACCACCTCCTCCCCTGTTCTGCCACACACTCTGAGGACATGTCACATCTTCACCAAGATGTCCACAAGTACCCCCACCACCTCTCTACCTGCAGCACGACCAGCACGCGGCCTCTGTCTTCCTCCTGCTTCACTGCGTATCCTCCACCTCGACTTCATCCACGTCTAGTATCATCTCTACCACCTCCATCACCAGCTAACCACTAAGCATAGATCCAAGTCTACTAAGAACTTGTCTCAGTGCCAAAATCCAGCCAGATATTTTCTTTCTTTCAAAAAAAAATTAATCATCTATTTATGGTTAGCATGTGGGGAGCGGGGGTGTATAAATGAGCTACGGTGTCCTTGTGGAGGCCCGAAGACAACTTTTGGAATCTGCTCTGTCCTTCTACCTTTCCATGGGTTCCAGGGACTGGAGTCACCAGGCTTACACAGCAAGCTCTTTATCCACAGAGCCATCTTGCTGACCCCAGCTGTAAATTCTCTGTTCTAGAGTCATAGTGATCCTCTCCAAAAAGGCTGGAGGCTGAGGAGTCTGGTGTGAGATGGAGCGGTCATTTGAAAGATTCAAATTCAGTCCTTAATTGTATAATCGGGGAAACTGAGGCCTACTCAATGCCAAGCCCACACACTCACTGGTTGGTCCTCCTCCAACTTGCCATGCCTCTTCATGCCTCTGGGTCTGACCAAGTTATTTCCTTCGCCTCTGGTCTGGTTGACCCCTCTCACTGGGGGCCTCTTCTGAGCTCCAGTCCCAAGTAGCAGGACTGTGTATGTCAGGGTAAATAGTCAGACAGGGTTCCCTAAGGGCAATGACATCTATCTATGTGGCCATCAACGGGCCCTACTGAGGAGATACTGGGCCCCTGTACAGTGTGTGAATCAAGCCTCCTCAGAGGCCAGATAGCCTTTCCAGTCACCTCGAAGAGGCGATGGCCGACCAGACAGCCATACTCTGTCCCAGTGATTCTGACTTCGGCTTCCTCGGAAAGTCTTAGCAGTTGCTCTGATTCTGTAAGTCGGCTGAGGGCCCGGAAATGCGCATTTCACACACTCCCCATGGGTTCTGGCAGTGGGGAGCCTCAGCAGATCTTCCCCGCAGACAGAGTGCTTTGCTATGGTGTTTGTCGGTTTAATTTGTCTTACGTCCCCAACGACCGCCCCATCTGAGCTCCATGAGGACAAGAACTTGTGGCTCTCATGCTCCGTGGTCAGCACAGCGCCTAGCTCAGACTGAATGAACATCCAAATCTGAAAATAAAGGGATAAATGGCCTCTGTCCCTAAGCCTTGTACAGCTCCTTAGGTCTCCTTGATCATAGTCCCGGCCCCTTTAAGTGTGCGTGGGGACGCCGGGACCCTCGGTCTCTGACAGCACTGAAAAAAAAAAAAAAAAAAGAAAAGGGAAAAAAAAAAAAAAAAGCCTTCCTCTCGGGAGCGGGAGGAAACATCTAGGAGGGGGGAGGAGGCGCGGCCAGAGCCTAGAGCCCCGAGCTTGAGCGGACGCCCCGCCCAGCCCAAGCCCCGCGCCCAGCGCCCCTCGCCTTGCCGCGGAGTGCTGCGCCCGGGGCGGGCCGGGCCGGGGCGGGCGCGGGTGCGGTGGACTGGGCGGCAGTGGTACTCCGACAGACGGACCCGCACGACACGCAGAGACCAGCCTCGGGCTCCACGGTGGAAGATGCACAGAGCAGGTAAGAAGCCGCGCCACCTTTTGCGCACCGGCGGCAGGCGCTGCAAGTGGAGCTTGCGGAACCGAGGGTCCCTTCTCTAGGAACCCAAGAGTTGGGGTGTCCTGTTCCAGGCACCCCGCCGTTGTCCCCCGAAGAAGGTCCCCTTGGAAACCGAGGACACCCCCCCTCCAAAGAGACCTAGTCGTAACCCCCCAACCCCCAGTCCTTCCTCTCTGTCCTCTGGGTCCCAGCAGGTCCTCTCTCGCCCTTTAGTGGCCGCGCCTGGCCCCGGGGCCCATCCGCTACGCTTCCCCGACGCCGGAGTCTGTTCTGGTACTCTAGGGCTCGACACACCCCGCTCTGCCATCAGACGCCCGGAGCTCTGTGGTTGAGCTAGGAAGCCTGAGCTGTTCTCTGGGCTCACCCCTCTTAAAACTCCCTGCCGGAGCTTCACTACCGGACCGAAGCGGGGACCGAGGGGTTACCCCTTACCCAGGCTCATCGGCGTCCCTCCCACCCCTCTCCCCTCGCGTCCCATTCTGTGAATCAGACTTCACCAGGTCAGGGATTCCGGGAAACCCAAGTGTTCTCTAAGAAATTTAGCGATCTCTGCCCGAGGAGTGCCATTTAGCAGATTGGGAAAGTGAGCCTCAGCCAGATGGGCGGTGCCTGAAATCTGGATTCCCAGCTGCGTGCCTGAGGAAGACAGAAAGTTCTCAAAGCTAGAAAGTAATCCTAGCTAACGAGAGATCCACCTGCTCAGAGCTGTCAGCCCTGCTTCTTTTACTGCTACCATTGTGCATAAGGGAAGCCCCTTCCCCACCCAGCACCCTGTCCAATACCACACTCCCAACACACATCCCCAAAGAAACAGGAAGCCACCATTTTGGCTGTCTTGGAACCATATCCTGCTGCTGCTGCTGCTGCTGCTGCCTGTTGGGGCTTTTTTCTTTTTAAGATTGTTTTACTGAAAACAGTCATTGTCTTGGGAGCAAGGTACCGCTAGAGACATTGGGCTGGTCTTGTAACAGTCGGAGGAGGAGAGCAGCCACCTCCCTGTGTCCAGGATTAGGGTTGCTGGGTGTATGGTAATTAATGTGGGCCACAGAATTGGGGGCCATGAGCAGGAGTGTCCCTTTATGGGAGTGGAGGGGAGGAGAACAGGGTCCCAGGGCCTGGCCGTCCACTGTTGTCTGGGGAAGCTTGTCTTGTGTGGTGCTGGCATGGTCTGGGACATAGGCTGCCTTTCCCTACCCTCCTAACAAAACCACTTGGTAACAATGGAGAGAGCCAGTCTAGCTTCCCCACATTTTCCTGCAGGAGGCTGGAGCAGGCCCTCCTTCCCTAAGAGTCTGGAGGATGGAGGCCACCAGAACAAATCTAGAGGTAGGTTTGGTCCCAGGAAGCCTTTGCAGTGGGCACTTAGATCTAGCTGTCCTGTAATTTGTTTCTGTAGACGCCGTGGTTCCCTTTTCAGTGTGACAGCCTCACACGATGACTGGTGGATGCCATCTCCCCCCAGCCGTTCTCATAGCTCTGGGACTCTCTGAGGCTGGATCTCAAAGCCACCGTATGCTTACATGACCTTGAGCAGGTCCCTCAGTTTGTCTGACAAGTAAAGATCTAGCTCTGACTTGACACTATTAACTAACAATAAATTGACCAGTGTCCATCATGAACAAACAATGAACACTAACTCATATTTCCCAGGAACTTACAATGAATTAGTTACCACTAGGATGTGTTCTTTCTATCAGTTTAGTTAGTATCCACAGCAACCTGAGGATGGGAAATTGAGGACCTGTTCAGAGCTTTTCTTTTTTTAATCCAGGCCTAACTTGTTGGTGCTCTTGACTTTGTTGAGTGCTTTTTTTTTTTTTTTGGCTGTTAGTCTGTTAGTTTCCTTGAACTCTCAATGGTCCCATGAAAAGGTGGATAGTTCTTCCTTTCTCCAAAAAGGACGCTCTGGCTTCCAGAGGCAGAGATGTGTACATGACCACACATCTGTATGTGGAAGGGCTTGTACCCGACCCCAGGCCTCTCCCTGCTCTGTCTTCCACTGTCTTCCTGGGAAGTGCCCTGCTGTGGATCACTGGACAAGCTTAACAGCAGCCTAATTAGAAACCAGCAGACTTAGCTTGGGCCCTCCAGCAGGCACCTAGGAATGGATGTTAAATTAAGATGCATTGCAAGGTGAAATTGGAAGGTAATTGCTCTTGCAACATATGGTCGTGAGTGTTCCAGGAGGAGTGGAGGGAAGGGCGGGCAGGTGAAGCAGACTTGGGGACGGGAGTCGGAGTGTCAGGATGTTGCAAGAAGCTCTCTGCGTTGAACGAGCTGGGGAAATGAACTTTTTGGTTCAGTCCCTTCCTTCTACAGGTGGAGAAACTGAGGCATGGGAAGGGGGAGGCTTGGCCAAGGTGACACCTCCTCTAGTTAGTGGCTTGGCTAGGAAGGGAGGTTAAGGCTCCTGGCTCCCTGTCCAAGGCTCCTTCCCAGACTTCATCTAACCTGACTCCTGCGTGGCTGTGAGGGAGCAGCAAGCATGAATGTGTGAGTGACAGATATTTAATTAAAATAGAGAGAGAAAGTAGCAGCTAGTACCAGGAGCGGGCTGCGAGTGATTTGTATCATCAGGCGCTATTGAAATGTTCTTTCTTCCCGCGCCCATCCCTTAGTTAGCATTTTGCCTAAAGCAGTGCTCTGCATTCGCCTCATCCCCAAGAGTGGCAAAGCCCCAGGAGTCATAGGCTTTGGTGACTCAGTCAGGGCATATTACTCGTAGGGAGAGAGAAGGCTCCTAGGCAGCCAGAGGGTGCACCAGCCAGGTCCATGCTTCGTTTCTCATCAGGAAGTCAAGCTCAGCCCAGGGGAGCAGTCCCAGCGCTGGCTACCACTGCATCTCCCAGGCCCTAAAGCTTAGCAGCTGGGCTTGTCCATGCCTCTGGTCTCTGCACACACTGTCACCTCTGCTGACTTCTCTGTCTCAATGTTTTCTCCCATTGTGAGCCCAGTCCCTTAGCGTGTCCTCCCTTAGCGTGTCCTCCAGTGATGCGAACCCCATCCTGTTAGCGTGTCCTCCAGTGATGCGAACCCCATCCTGGAGGCTTGCACTTCACCAGCCAGGGCGGCGGCGGGCAGAGCAAGGCAGGTTGTTTTCATGTGCACGTTTGCATCCCTTTCGCCCTCCTCGGTCTCCTTTGCTGATCAGGGGCCCTGGGACTCCTTCCTGGGCCCTACTTCTCCCTGTCCATGACTTCCATCGCATCCCACCTTGTCCACCTGTAACAGGCCTGCCCCTGGAGCCCAGAGCCCATTGGATATCTCCACGAGGTGTGTGAAAAGTGACTCACTTGGACTTGTGCACACTGAAACCCTGGGTCTTCCTTCCCAGCCCTGGCCTTCTTGGCTGTTGCAACTTTACCCTTCTAGGTGCTCAGGGTTAAACTTCAGCACGATCTGGGAACTCTTCTCTCTTCCACACCATGTCCGTTCCATGCATACATCCTCCCTCTCAGTTCTGTTTCATCATTGAAATCAGATTCCTTGTTGTCCCTGCCTGGTCCAGGCTCCATCACTACTGCTTGAAGGACCACGAGAACCCCCTTTCTAGACTCTTCCGTCCTTCACCCCTCCCATCCATTTCAGCATGTTTAGCCTGCATGTACGGGTCCTCATGCGTAAGCCCTGCTGTTCACCCTGCTCCTTAAGCCCTTGAGAAGAAGCCGGAGTATCCCCAAGCCTCATCTCCTGCCTCCCCCAACTTCCATTGTTCCCTTCCAAAAGTTCTGGCTTTCCTCCCATCTCCTGGATACATTAATGAGTCCCAGCTTCTCCCTTCTTCTCTACAACTTTAATGTCCCCTCAGTGAGACCAGAGGGGTTTGTTGGTACGTCTAGAGACTCTAGACTAGGGCCCCACACAGGATAGGAGGACAGTAAATATTACCTCATGGAACCGGAGTAGAGAAAATTGAGTGGGAACAGATTGGAGCCGTATAGTCTCACTCTAGTCTATATGCTGTGGTCAGACCCAGACCCTGCCTTTGACACACACTTCACCTGACAAGCTGCTCCTAGTTTCTCTGTCTTAGTTTCCATGGATTTTACCCTTCTCACTGACACTTGGGGCTCCTGGGGCTCCACTGTAGGGGAAATGCTCTGTGGGAAACGGAGAGGCAGAGGGTTGGGTGGCTGGACTTGGAAGTATGAAAACTTGATTCTCTCCAGGGCTGCTCTGCATCCACTGAGTGACCTCACACCAGTCAACTGCCAGTGAGGGGCAAGACAAAGTGTCTTTGGCGCCAGCATCTCTTGGTCTCTGAGGGGACATGCAGAAGCACTGTGGCTTCATTCAGCGCTGGCGCAGGAGTGAAAAAATGCCATGTGCTTGTCATTCCTTGGGCTCCTGTGCAGAAGGCATTTTCTTGCAGGACCACGCCTCAGACCCTACCACAACCTTTCTCAAGGAACAGGCGCCCACAGATCAATAGCTTGATTGGATGAAGGATGGGTTGGGAATGGGGGCAATGCAGCCGGGGTGACAGTCATTTTTCACAGCTTGTCTGTTCCTCAGTCATGTCTCATGGTGGCCCATGTGAAATGCTACCTGTTAAGGATGAGAAATGAGAGTCCCCACCCCTGAAGAATAAGTCACACCAACATCTGACACTTGATGTTGTGAGCTGGCAGCTGCTATCAGGTAGTATACTGGATATGGCTGGACTCAAGATAGAAGGATGTGGGGGCGGGGAGGATGTACTCCTGAGTGAGCAGTTTCTCTCATGCAAATGCCGACAAGATCTTCTGTCTTCACAGCACCCCCAAGGGGAGCCATAGGCTGTCCCCATTTTACAGGTGGTAAAACTGAGGCTTAGTTCTACAGCTCCTAAGCAGCCAAGCCAGAGTTTGAACCCAGCTCAGCTGTTACCTAACAATGATCAGTGTTAAACTCCAATATATATATATATATATATATATATATATATATATATATATATATTCTAAAGTAGAAATCATCTAGTCTTGATAACTTGGTAGTTCTAACACCTGGGCAGGCCTGGAGGTTGGTGTGGATGACCTAGGGGTAGTTGGAGTTGGTGAAATTTGGTGAGGTCTTTGACAGTGGTGTCTTTTTTCTCTCTTTCTTGCCTTCAGCCTCTTCCTGCACCCTGTCATAGTAGCCTGTACGGGTCTGTGCAGTCTTGAATGTACCACCCTGTCCTCCGAATGATAGGGTCCTGACATTTGTGGATCATGGTACTGACTTTGGCTCCAGATATCCTGGCATTGAGGTGCCCATGGACAGGGCCACAGAGTGGTCCAAGTCAGAGCTTAGCTGCCAGTGCTGAGCCCCAGGCCTGTGGCTGGTGAATGGAGATACTCCATTCCATTTCAAGGTCATCTAGTGAAAAAAGAACGTCAGCTAGCTCGTTCAAAATGGCTATAGATGCCCCTTAATTTACGATGGACTTACATTCCCATAAAGTCATCGTAAGTCAGAAATACCCTGTCAGAAGTGCGTGTCCCACACTTAGTCTCCCAACCATGCTAGCTCAACTGTGCTCAGAACCCCTGCCTTTGCTGTAGCTGGGTTGAATCATCCCCCACAAAAACCACTTAATACTCACAACCTCACTAGATACTGTATTGGAAGTGAGACACAGAGGATTTTTTTTCAAACCACCATAAAGTACAATTGTTAGGTTGAACTTTACTCAAATAATAATATTTGTGTGTGTGTGTGTATATGTGTGTGTGTGTGTGTGTGTGTGTGTGTGTGTGTGTGTAAATCAGAGGACAACCTCAGGTGTCATTCCTCAGGTGCCGTTCCTCAGGCGCCATCTAGCTTGTCTTTTGAGCCAGGATCTCTCGCTGGCATAAACTGACAAGTAGGCCAAGCTTGCTGTCCAATGAATCCCAGAGATCCACCTGTCTCTACCTCCTCGGAGCTTCGATCCCAAGCTCACACCGCCAACATCTGACTTCTTTTTCTTAATGTGAATTCTGGGGATCTAACTTGGGTCTTCATGCTTGCGTGGCAAGCACTATATCAGCTGGGCTATCTCCCCAGGCCCCCACTTTTTTGGAGACAGGTCTTATGTAACTGGCCTTGAACTCCTGATCCTTCTGCCTCTCAAGTTCCGAGATTATGGGCATGCCTACTATGCCCTGTGATGTTTGGATATATGGAGCTGAGTAATATATAGTGTGTTTTTATTGTTGTTGCTGGTACTTTGTTTTTGAGACAGGGTTTCACTATGTAACATTGTTGTTGCTGTTACTTTGTTTTTGAGACAGGGTTTCACTATGTAACATTGTGGGGCCTGGAACTCTATGTAGACCAGGCCGGCTTTCAACGGATGGATCTACCTGCCTTTGAGCACTGGTATTAAAGGTGTGCACCACTATGCCCACCTGGGCAAATTAGAATGTGAAAGTGACTTTCACATCCTTTTTTTTTTTTTTTTTTTTTTTTTTTTTTTTTTTAAAGATGAGGTTTCTCTGTGTTATCCAAGCTGGATGCTGTACTCTTGGGCTCAAATGATCTTCCTGCCTCAGGTTCTTGAGTAGGTGGGGTTCTGGGGATGGGTCCCTACACCTGACATTTATTTTATAATACGGCTGCGAGAAGATTAAAAGTATCTATGGGGCTGGGCATGGTGTCACACACCTGTAATCTCAGACTCAGGAGACTGAGGCAGGAGGATCGTGAGTTTGAGGCCAGCCTAGGCTATATAGGAAGGCTTTCATATGTATCACGTATATCTATCACATGTAATGATAAATGTGGTCCTTGATTAGAGCTGCTGGTAGTAGCTGCTATAAGTGGGCTCCAATGCTGAGGGAGAGGCTTGTTTGCTGAGAGAACCCCAGCCCTCTGCTACATCTTCGTCAGGAGCCAGACTGGCATCTGGAGCTGCTGTCACACCTAGACCTCAGCAAGGATAGATGGAAGATGAGGCCTGAAAAGTTCATTCTGCTGAAGTATAGATTGAGATGTGAGGACCAGACAAGGAGGCCTGGGAAGCAGGCCCTGCTAGTTGCTCAGGAGAGACACAGGACCTGGACCTCGGAAGCTGTGCCATTGGTCTGTTTCTTGTCTTAACATGTCATATATCATTCTTCAAAACAGAGCTTCACCTTCTCCCAGAGGCTCCCAATCATGACAGTTATTCCTGGCTAATTCCTGATGTGTGTGTACTCTGCACATATCTTTTATCTACCCATCTGCAGGCCTCAGCATCCTTCAGGGACATAGACTTTTGCAGCTACCCATCCATGTTGGTACATACTATTTCCTTTCTTCCATGATATTTGGAGGTGTTGGATGGACATTCTGGAAACATGCAAACTTTCTCACTCAAAGCTTAAAACAGAGTCTTAAGTCTTTAGTGTGTCATTCTTGGAGGGATGAAATAATGGCTATTCAGCCATAGCATCCCAAGGGGCTACAGCTCTCTCTGTTCTTCTAACTCCCCAATGGATTCTCTGCTGGAGCCCATGAAAGCCCCTCATCTGTAGTGCTGGCTACTTGGTTAGGGTGCTGATGAATACCAGCTTGTAATGGCAGGACACACAGAGATCATTCAATAAGTAGTTTTTGGTGAATGAATGAAAAGATCTTGGCACATTGTTCATCGCTCACAGGATTTCGTTCAGCTGGTTTCTTGTTAGCTGAACTGTCGCGAAAGCTCTGTTCCCCTACTCACAGAATGAACTAAGTGTCAGGGATTTTCTGGCTTTCAGATAGGGTCTCATGTAACCCAGGCTAGCCTTGAACTTTTGATCCCCTAGCCTCTACCTCTCCAGTGCTAGAATTATAGGCTTTTAGGGTGCTGGGGATCAAACAGGGCTTCCTGCATGCTAGGCAAGCACCTATTAAGGAGGCCACACCCCTAGCCCCGTTAAAGGATTTCGAGGATGTGGTAGAAGAAATGAAAGTCTGAGACAAGCCACAGAAATGGGAACTTTCCTCCCTCCTCCCTTCACCAGGCTATGGAAAAAGAGTCTGAGTAGAATTTAATTGTGTGTGTGTTTGTTTGTTTCCTTTTCTTTGTTTTCACCTTTTAGATTCACCCAAACCACCAGTTGCTCCCAAGCCGAAGGTTACCACCAGTCCTTCTTCGCCAGCAGCCAAGTTTCCCCCCTCACCCAGGCCTGACAGTTTCCCCAGTCCCAACTCCATGTCCAGGGGCCCCAAACCTCCCATCGCTCCCAAGCCCAGGCTGGCTGGCCCCAGTGAGTTCGGAGCTGGTGTGCACCTGAACAACAGCCTCAGCAAATGCAGCAATGGGAGGCTGCTGTGTGAGGACCGGGGCCTGGATCATGGCCACCACTCCACCCTGAACTGCTCTGAGTCGGAGACCGATGAGGAGTACATCATGGTCCCCCGGGCTCCACAGAGAGAGGGTGCTCCCAGGGATGGGGCTACTGGGGAGCAGGGCTTGGAGGAGGAAGTCCAAGAGCATGGTGCAGAGCAGATGGGGACTGAGGGGGACCTGGCAGTCCCAGATGAAGAGGCTCCAAGCAGAGACAGTGAGGAAGACATGAGCCACACTCTGGAGGGTGAAGAAGACTGTGATCACGATCCAGAGAGAGATGAGACCCCAACACCCCCAGATGAAGGGGTGCTAAGCAGAGACCGTGGAGGAGGTGAGGAGGACTGTGACCAGGACCCAGGTATGGAGGAGCAGCCCATGAATGAGGAGGAAGAGGAGGAGCACGTGTCCAACCTTGATGATAGGGACCCCCCGGATGCAGAGGAGCCTTCCCACACAGAGATCGTTCTCACACATGTCTGCTCCGAGTCTCTTGAAGTTCCCTGTTGGGAGCCAGGGCCCCCTGAGACTCCTGGAGTGGTAGAAGAGGATAGCGAAGATGGATGTAATGACACTGAACCTGGGGAGCCTAACCAGGACACTGGACAGGACACAGAGGATGCCAGCGTGGGGTCCCCTGAAAATGGGGAGGTGCCCCCAGATGTCCAGGAGCAAGAGGTGGCACCTGACAGCCCTGAGGTCTTTGAGGAGGACTGTGAAGATGCTGCCGAAGGTGGGAGCCAGGTAGACCAGGAGGAACCACCCACTTGCGATGAGGAAGCCTACGACAGAGAAACTGCCGCAGCCACCATGCAGGTGGGGGAGGACCCTGGAGAGAGTGGAGACCCAGCGCAGGAGGACCCTGCTGAAGAGAACTGCCAGATCATTCCCTTTGAGAGCGACAGCGTGGAGGAGGATTTCGTATCCACACTCCCAGAAAGTCCCTATGAACTCTTCCCGACTGAGAGCACTTCCTTCTGCAATGACATCTATTCCCTTTCGGAGTCAGCCAAGGGGCAGGAGCCAGTGCATGAGGTCTGCACAGAGGAGGTTCCTGGTACCGACCCTTCACCCAACCAGCACGATTCCCTGCACGATGGAGCTGGAGAGGCACCCCCTGTCCCTGACGTAGTGGTTGTGCCAGAGGATGAGGATGCCATGGACGATGCACTCAGCAGTCCCTACGTGATGGGAGTTGGCTTGCTGAGCCTCGGAGAGGGAACACAGTCAGACACTCAGGCTGCCTCAGGCACTCGGAGTGGGTACAGTGCATGGGAGGAAGGGGACTCTGAGGGTGGCCTGGTCCCAGTGGATAGGAAGAATATTGCCACAAGGGCCCGGCCCCACTCTGGGAAGGTAGCTGGTCATGTTCCAGAAACTGTTCTAGAAGAAACAGGACCAGAAGGCTGTTCATCAACTGTGGGCACCAGAGACACCAGTGAGGAGGTGAGAAAAATAGCTATTTTACCAGAGGGGAAGCCCCCTGAGTCTGGCCGTGCCTTGCCAGCCAAGCCCAGAGCATTCACTCTATACCCAAGGTCCTTCTCCGTGGAAGGCCGTGAGAGTCCCCTGTCCATGTTCCGGGAGCCAGAGGGGGCTGGGCTGGACAGCCATCGTGTGAGGAGGAAAGAAGACAATCTCTCTCTGCCAGGCGCCATTGGCTCCTCTGGCAGCTTCTCACAGCGCAGCCACCTGCCGTCCAGTGGCACCTCCACGCCGTCCTCCGTGGTTGACATCCCGCCCCCTTTCGACCTGGCCTGCATCACGAAGAAACCCATCACTAAGAGCTCACCTTCACTCCTGATAGATGGCGACACGCTGGATAAGACCTCCAAGAAGAAGAAGTCCTCCTTCAAACGCCTCCTGGAGCTGACGTTCAGGAAGAAGACAGAGAGCAAGGGGCACATGGACATGAACCTGTCCTCTTCCAGGTCCTCCTCCGAGTCCAGCTACCACGGCCCGGCCAGGGTCCTGGAACTCGACCGCAGGAGCCTCAGCAACTCACCCCAGCTCAAGTGTCGCACTGGGAAGGTCCGGGCCTCTGACTCCCCTGCCTCCCTCATCTTCTACAGGGACGGCAAGAGGAAAGGCGTCCCTTTCAGCAGGACGGTGTCCAGGGTGGAGTCCTTCGAAGATCGCTCCCGGCCGCCCTTTCTGCCCCTGCCGCTCACCAAGCCACGGTCCATTTCATTTCCCAATGCTGACACTTCGGACTATGAGAACATTCCAGCCATGAACTCGGATTATGAGAACATCCAGATCCCGCCTCGCAGGCCGGCGCGGGCTGGGACTCTCACAAAGCTGTTTGAAGAGCAGAGTAGAGCCCTGTCGACTGCAAATGAGAATGATGGCTATGTGGACATGAGCAGCTTCAACGCCTTCGAGAGCAAGCAACAGAGCTCAGAGCAGGAAGCCGAGAGGTACGTGAGGGACAGGTCCTTTCGCAGAGTGTGGGCCTAACAGCTGGAGGCAGCTACGGTACGGGGGTGGGATGGACATGCTTTGTAGGCTCTGCTGCTTCTTAGCTGTGTGACTTGGGGTGAGTGGCTCCACCTCCCTGAACCACTGTCACTTCACCTGTGAAATGGGGCTCATGTTTCTCACACTAGCATGTTAGATTACAATATAAAACTGCTAATTATTAAGGGGACAGTTCTCATGTCTAAGGGAGATTGCTTTCACACACACACACACACACACACACACACACACACACACACACACAGCAACTAAGAGAGAAGGTTCTGGAAGCTTGCCAAACTAAATATCTTTCACCATCAGAAAAATACCCTAATTGATTGATACCTTCTTATTGTGTACACGTAGAACTAGAAAAGACAATTTATTTAAACTGTCCAAAGAGCTCAGAGCGCCTCGAGCTGAATTTCTGAATAGAAGTCTTGAAGAGGTATACCTAAGCTGATTAAAAAAAAAAAAACAAAAAACAAAAAACCCGGATCACTTTGAAAGCGGGAGTGGAACACTGTGGATATCAAACAATAGTGGGGTTTTCTGCCTCACTTCCCTCTAGCTGAAAACCGCTCCCTTAGCCTACCTGGGTTGGCTGCAGCTTCCACAGGACACACTTTACCCTGTGTGCTTGCATCCCTGCGGGGCCCTGATCCGAGTCATCAACAGTCCCCATGGTTCAGTTCAATCGAGGAGCCCCAGGGTTCTTTCTTATGTGGGGGACTAAACCTGCCTGCCTGCCTGGTGACTGCTGCCAGGAGTGTCTGGGGAGCTGCAAGGGAACTAGAAAGAGACATGGCTGCTGCTGGCCTGGAGTAGACTGGCAAGGTTTACCAGCTTCATCCTCAGGAGTAGTCCCTGTGGTCCCCATATGGGTTCCCTCTCCTCCCAGGCTGAGTGAGGGCTCTATCAGTTCTTTCTGCGACATGGAGGAGGTTTGTTTACAGGAATGACACTAGACACCAGTCCTGGAGAGGGACTGGGTTTAATGTGGAGAGTGAGAGTAGAAACTGGACCTGACTGGTCTGTTTTGTTAATGATTATCACATGGCCCCAACTAGGTCCAGCCCTGTTTCCACCTCTTAGCACTGGAGAAAACAAGTTGGAAAGACAAAATCTTCAGGTGAAACATGCGGTTCCCTAGCTAGCTGGTTCCTGACTTTCCCTGGCCACTGGGATCTCACCACTTCCCAGCATTCGCCTGGGCTGTGAATAATAGGAAGTTTGTTTTGCTTTGTCTCTTTGTGTAGCGCCGGCTGCCCTGGAACTCACTGTGTAGGTCACACTGGTCTGGAACTCAGAGATCTGCCTGTCTCTGTCTCCTGGGTGCTGGGATTGAAGGCCTGCGCCACCACTGCCTGTTTGTAACTGAGGCAAAAGCTGTCCCCCGTTTCCTACCCCATACCTTGTTCACATCACCTCTTCACTCGAGGCAGATGAGTTGGTTGATTTCATTTTTGGGGTGACAGCCTTTCAAAGATTAAGATACACTTCCGTGAAATCACAATTTTATTGTTGAAGAAGGTTTGCGACATCACTGAGTCCTGCTATGGAAGGGAAAAGCTGAGGGTCTGAGAGGAAAAGGGATGAGCCTAAGATCTCACAGCACGTTTGGGAGGAGTCTGACTTCTTCATTCTTGACTTAAGAATTTGCAGTGAGTTATGCCAAGGGGAGCTGGGTTGGGTTGTTCAGAACCCCACAGGTAGCTCCTTCCCCTTAACTGTGTATGATGGATGCCCCATGGGGTCATGCAGTACACAGGCGCTTGGCCATATGCAAGGGCCATTGCCTTCTTCTGTACCTTCTCCTCCCCCAGACAGAAAAGGAATAACAGGGAATAAAGTATCCAAGGAAATGCTAATGGTACTGGGTGTTGGCTGTCCACTGGCCAGGCCCTGTGCTGGTTGCTTTTCTTGTTGGCTTACATCTGAGACTGCAGCCAGGGCCTGGCCTGAAGGGTTCTGAACTATCATATTCTGAACTGCAGGAGCACTCCAGCCCCTCTGCTACTGCCCCGCCAGGGCCCTGACTGGGTGACTCTCAATGCTAGTCAGTCAGCTTAATTCTCTTCACTTCCTGTTGGGAGACAGATGAAAACAGAGGAGAAAATCCCTGCCCCAGGCCCAGCAGGCCTGGGCAGGTGTGGGCCCGGGATGGTGTGGGGCTTCACCTGCATGGGCGTTGTGAGTGAGGCAGAGGCCGTAGGAACACAGGTGCAGCTGGGTGCCTGGGGTTGGAGAGCAGATGAGGCAGGTGGAGAGGCACTTCCTCCTGCCTCCTGCCTTGTTTAGAGCGAGGGTCAGAAACCAAGTCGTTCCTGAGAACTCTGAAAGGAGACAGGACAGAGCCTCTGCAGATGCATCCTGACCAAGGTCCTGGAATGAGCTGTGTGCTTAGGAAATGGCTGTGGGTCCCATTTGCCTCTGTCCAGGGGGGATGTTCTTGTTCAGGTCAGCTCATCTTCACCTCAAAAGGGGATGATGGAAACTTGGTGTGACTGTGGAGGGGAGGGTGGAGTAAATGTACCCATGACTATAAATAGAAAGTACTTGTGAAAATTAGATAAAAGAAAAATAAATTAACTTAGGAGCAATCTGGCTTGAGATTTGTTACTTGTCAAGCTCTGAACCTCAGGCCTGGTTTCTGAATCAGGTAGAGGCTGGCCCTGACCACTCAGACTCGACTTAACCATGGTCAGAGGAGTCAGAGCACTTGGAAGGTACTGGGACCTGTCACCTAGAAGCCAAGCTGCTTTCCATGGAAAGTGTGTTCCTCCAAGAAACCGGGCTGACCTGGACATGGCTTTAGACCTGCAGCGGGCACGGCCTGGGCCAGGGGAGATGGGGAAGTTTTCTCTCTGCGGTTGCTTCCCTCCGGCTCCCAAGCACAGACAGCGTTTGAGCAGGGAAGTGATAGGAGTCCCTTGTTACTTCACCAAGTACAAGTGGGCATTTGTAACGGACTTTCCCAGCTCTTAATTTGAAATGTATCCCCGATGGATACATTTTTTTTCCTGAATAGACTCTCTTTCTAACAAGATGCTGTGTGACCTCGGCAGTCAGGAGTCTCTGTTGGGGACGTACATCTTTCCCACAGGACCTGTGGTTCACAAGCTAGGAACTAAGCTGGCTTTCTCTGGTGACATGGGACTTTTGAGCCTGGAAAAGAACTGGTCCTTTGTTAAGTGACCAGTCTGAGATTACAGTCCCAGATGCTTTTCTATGCCCTCAGAGGCCGATATGACCCAACATGCGGCGTGGTACCTTATCCTAAACGCCCCATTTCAGCCTGCCTGGTCTTCCTGCTTCTTGTGTGTTGAAGAGCTAGCTGGCTTCCTTCAGCCTTGTGCCTCAGAACAGGTTGCTGTGTGCCTGTGTGTCATGTATCCTCAGGGTTTACTGCGAAAATATTCAAGTCACTCCAAAGCTCCAAGTTTGACAGTGACTGTCCTTGTGCCCACTCCCTAGGTCCTGCAGCACCCTTGCTGCACTGTTGGCTGTCTCTTCTCCCTCTGTCTGTCTGTCACACAGTGTTCCGCTCTGGGGACACTGATCTGTCCACACAGATACCCGGAAGTTGCTGCTATGCATATAGACTTCTCAGCCACGCCATCCTGTTTCCGCGGCCCTCCTGATACTAGTCAGCCTCCTAACATTGAGTCTGAATCACAGTCAAGTAATCTGCAAGCGTTTGCTGTTAAGTGGTGGAGAATCAAGGTCAAGTCTTGTGGATGGAGGATTTGAACTTGATTCCAGAGAGATGCTGTGTCTGGGAGGGAGGATCAGGGTCCTTCCCCATGGATGTGGCTCTCTCTCTCTCTCTCTCTCTCTCTCTCTCTCTCTCTCTCTCTCTCTCTCTCTTCCTCCTCTTTTCTGCCTATGTATGCCTTGGTGCTCAGGTTTCTATTGCAAGGTCTGAGACTGGGGAACTTTGGCCACAGAGTGTAGTGTTATCTCCTCTGGTGCTCCCAGGAAGGCCCAGGGCTGCAGATAGCAGCCTGGCAGGACTAATCTAACACTGTCAGCAGCACTGTCTCTGACACCAATGCCGAGACCAGGGGTCATGATTCCACACCTGCACTGGAGCCAGTGCCTGTTACCATGGAGATGGCCAGAGCTGGGCTGTATCCTGTAGCATGCAATTAGCATGCAGTCCCCAGATCCCACTTTCTGATGGGAAGACTGAGGCTTGTTGAACTAACACTGAATGTCCTCCGTCACATAGAGAGTAAGTGGCCAAACCAGAATTGGAACCCAGGCCCGCCTGACTCTCCATTCTGGGCTGTTTCTGCTGCCATTTGTTTTCCATAGTGAGAAGGCCACACTCTGGTGTTGCTAACCTGACACCTGCTGAAGGGCTCCCTGCAGGAGAGAGGGTGCTCCTCCGGCCCCGTTCCCAGTGGTACCCTTGTTCGGTGACCTGGAGGACTCCAGGGGATGCAGAAGAGGCTGTGCTTTCCTGTCTGATGGCCCATGGGACTGTGGTGCCTCTGGCAGCTACTCTATAGACATTGGTGATGTGCTAATGATGTGCCCAGACATCCTTCCTTGCTCCAGACCATGGTGGGGACCCTTGGCCTCTGGTGGCCACCTGTGCCCGAGGGACAACCAGGAGCTTTGGCTTTGGAGCCTGCCACCTGCAGGGGGTCTTCCTGATCACTGGGGGAGTTTTAGGAGCAGAGTCTGTGTGTTTGTGCCTGCAAAGAGAGTCATGGGAGTTCTGAGGGGAAAGGCTCAATTTACTCTGCTTTGCCTGTCACAGGGAGCTCCAGTCACACTCTATGTGGATGAGGAGGCTTGGGACCACCAGGGAGGGCCTGCCTTGACTAGCTAGTGGTACCCATGTGAGAAGCAAGATGTTCTGTACTAGACCCAAGGCTAAGTAATATGCAGGAGAAAGGTGGATCAGGCAAAAGGAGGAACTTGAAGGATAGCGCGGAACAGTGAGATT